GGACGCGCTGGTTACCACTTACCGAGGATCATACTTGAGTTTTCTTTTGATGCAGCGTTGTAGAAAATTACAATCAATGCACTGTAACTGAGAGCAAGAGCAACCGCTTGAAACATGTCAATCACAATAACCAACCAAGCTATTCTTGCGTACGATAGAGCGAAAAAAGAGCACGAATAAAGAAACATTGCCACACATATAGTCTTTAACTCTCCAATCTTTCGTATCACATGAGTTGATAGAAACATAACCGTCGCTAGTGAAGTCCGTCTGACTGAACCTGCGCCGGCAATTAATAACGGGCTTGCAGATAAACTGTGTAAGTACCAAAACTCCCAGTGCAATTGAAACGCTGCACACAATCCAGCATAAAACTGGACGGCGAACATGAAAATGCAGTGCGCATTAAAAACAACAGTTTTAACTCCGGACCATGTGAACGTTTTTTTTTCGTTGTACTCAAATTGAAACCAAGGAAGAGATAGCATCGAAAGTAAGAGCATAATTCCTCCCCATATAAAAACTATGAAATACCCATACTTGGTAACTCCACACATATTAATCAGAATGTACCAAGCTAGCACAGCGACAGACGGGGTAGAAAGAGCGCTAGCTATATGGGCCCACATGTTATAAGCGCCATAACTCGCTTTGTCTCCTTGAATGAAAGTCATTGTGGCTAGGTTTGCTAAAGACAGGTCTATACGATCAAAAAACTGCGTCAGAGATCTTGAGATTATCAGTATTAGGAATAAAGCTCTTAGCGAAGACTGTGAATTGTGAGTTTTGGAGGAGGGTTTGGCTGGATTGTTGGAATAGTTTGAGGGTAGAGAACTCCGTCGCATACGTTGTGTAGATAATTTGTTGTTAAATCTTAAGGAATGGTGAATCTTGGAGACAGAAAGGCGTTTTTTATCCTTCGAGTATTTCGAGAACATTTGGCCATTATGGCGCGAGGCAACTTGTTGTGCTGATGGAGTGTGGGTTGATGTGGAATATGGTTTGGAATGGTGTAGTTTTGAGTCGGTTATGCGGGTTCTAGTAGGCTTCGAATTCTTCGAGTGCACTGCCACGGTATTCAGTGGGCTGTTGCTCAACGGCAAATGAGAAATTATGTGGTGGATCATGAAGGCAGATGAGTTATTGGTGGTTTTATCGACCGAACTATTAATGAAGATATGTTGTTGTACCGCTTTAAGAGACTTTGTCGATGTAAAGTGCTTCTTGTTGCTGCGAAATGCATAGCTTGAATAGTTCAAATGCACTGTTCCGTTTCTAAGTTGTATTGCTTTCCTAGCAGACTTGAATGCTATGTATGCATGGTTTGGTATAGCATGTCGGCTGTAGTGCTGGTACAACCAGGGATAAAAGTGGTAACATACAACATACCGATGCTGCCAAGGTACCACATACTGCGACAATCTTTCTTGCTCGAAATTTCTCCCCGAAGAATAGACACAATGGTATGAATAGATGCGGTATTCCGAACAGTGCTGTCAATCCAATTTGTCCTGGGTTGAAACCAAGTTGTTTCATAAAAAGATTGAAATATTCACTGAACAGTTCCAGTGATCCTGCACAACTGAAGAAATACCATTTTAGAGCGACGGATTTTAGCGAGAATTTTACCATGATAATGACATATATTTACTTTTGCGACCAGCCCTACTGAATCGGATATGCGCGTCAGTGAAGCGTCGTACGCGACTTTATTGCAACCTCTAGGCTTAATATATGCATGCATGTAAAGTATGTTGGTTGTTATGTTAATCGTGAGTTTCGTTAATCGTGTTAGCTTGAAACGTTCTAAACTGGTTTGAACAGCTTTACAGGCAATCTCGTTCCCCTCGCCTGCGATCCTCTGGAAGAAACGTGAGAATCGCAGGGTCGCGGAACGAGATTGCTTTACAGGCAACCTCGTTCCCAGGCTTTTCCTGAGTACGGGTTTGCTTCCCAGGGTGCTATGACTATGTTCCCGATTTTTAAACCGTGATCAAACCTATCTCAATACAACAGATGTATGCATGATGTCAATGGTCTATTGCGTGAACCAGACTTCGCAAAAACTTCAGTATCAAAAATTTTCTCTTATAGAATATATTGGCGATGCCCACTAATAGTTAGTTGTGTAAAAGTGTGGAACATAATATTTTAGTTATTGCATTTTTGGAACAAATAATTGCTGGATTTTATCTCAAGTTTATATCGAGTGATAACTATGCTTCATTGCATTTCTTTGTTTGCGCAACAAGGCCGTGATAATTGCACTTGACGACACTACCATATTTAAATTACTGTATATAAAGGCGACGTTCCACAAAGCAATAGAGTAGAACTGGATATAGTAGCCAATTTTGAAAGCGTGAATATTTAGAACGAGAAGCGATTTTTAAATCTGCCAAATTAAACACATATCGAGCTGCTAGTTGTGTAAATTAGCTTAACTATATCAAGCAAATGACTTTGTCTGTGCCGGCTTGAAAGATATAGCTTTCTGCACTTCTTGTAACGAGGTCTAGAACGTTTCATACGCTAGATAATAGAGAGGTTAAGATACCCCGGTTTACGGGTACGAGTATCGCCATTTTGTTTACCAATTTTTGCTGATGTCAGCAATTTTACCCGTAATTTCTACCCGTTTCCCCGCGGTAAACCATGGTCTACACGTAAACGACAAACGGGTACGGGTGTTTTCTGTTTACTATTTTTGGGCCGTTTAAATAGTACAAATTTTCAACATCTTACCCAAATAAATAATGCACATTGCTGATCAAAGTTTTCAACAATTTATGGCGAACCTGAACAGCGAAAGTTGCCATTCTGTGATCGGTTTTCTCACGCCGGAATATCTTGGATTTCTTAAGTTACAAGTTATTTCCCGATTTACGGGTACGTGTATATCACCCGTACCCGTAAACCGGAATCGGGCTATCTTAACCTCTCTAATGAGATTCGATCCACCGGGATTGGTGCTTTGACCTCATTAGTTATTCACCAGCAATTTTAAGACGAAAGAGAGGCCGCTGTTGACCAGTCTCTATTCTAGACAATACGTTTTCCTTCTCAACAACAACGAGAAACTGCGATTTTAGATGCGATTTTCTTCTCCTGATGTATGTGAACGAATGGATGAGTTGGGAATGTTTAGATGAGGGTACATGTACTCAGGGTATTCATAACTTATTTACTCGTTCACATACATCAGGAGAAGAAAATCGCACCAGAAATCGCAGCCGAAAAATTGCAAGCGTAAACTGGTCTTTAAGGCCCCGCTCCCCCAAATCAATGTTGAGTTGGTGTCATGGTATATTACCAAAAAGTTTTTTCGGCGTTGTTTACAACATTAAACTGGGGGTGTGTGGGGGGGGGGGGACAAAGTTTGTTTTGCCAATATTCAGTAACTTTGTATTATTGACTTTGTAATATTAAATTTCAATTTAGGTATTAGTTTAATGTAGGTAAACGATTAAGCCTGAAAACCACTAATTTTCGCCCTGACTTGCTTGCAGGATATGTTAATTTTTACCCTCTATATTTCTAATGCCCGACACATACATGTGTTAGGAATACTAGAATAATACAATTACGTTTATAATAGAAAGAATTTGATCTTGGCTTCTAGAATATTCCGATGGAATATATCTTGTAGTGAAGAACAGTTCAATAATATTTTCAATCCGCACTAAGCTCTCGGGAATGGCAAATTCCTGCAGTCTGGGAGACTATTTGACAGTAATATCAATGAATACATTTATTAAAATTGTTAAGATTTGCACGAATGACAAGATTAGCAGGCCAGTATCCAATATAGTTTCTCACACATTAATTGGATGATTACGTAATTATACGAAAATACAATGAAACTTAGACAAAAACATAACACAATGACTTCTATTTAGTTTCCCAGACCATCGTATCTTCATAGACTATGACATAGGAAAAATCATATTTGAGATGGGTCATGGCACTTTAACTAGGTAAACGTTTCTACTACATCCCATACAACATTGCTGTTGTGTTAATACGACAATTTGTGAGACTAATGGAACATTGCCCAAGGACAAATTGATTAAATTGTGGTTAAATTATAACGAAAATTGGATAAGAGGTTAGCAAAAGTGTGTCTTGTAAACTGAATACGTAATTAGCCCATTGTATAATTTATGCATCGTGCTTAATTCGCTGACAGAGGTATCCAGTCTCTCTACTCTAGGTTTTTTTCTGTCGTTATCGTTGTCATTCCACGTCACTGTCTTGAGCTACTTTTTCATATTTATGCAGACTTGTTGAAAAGCGAATGTACAGAACTAACATAACCAGCACCACAGCAGATGATATTGAATAGATGAGCAATGCTAGCTGTGTGCCCAAGGTGTGGAAAAGAACTCCCATCAGACTCGATCCGGCATCAAATGCTACAGCGTAAACTGTCTCTTGTAGGCCTAAAAGCAGCATGAAAATTTTTTAACCAATTATCTCAAATCATTAATAATTCAGGAGGAAATTACCTCACATCACTGATCTCAAGACTAGTGCTGGACCACAGAGTACGTCATATAGAGCTCTCACTGCGGGAAAACCGTAAGTAGTTTTCACGGCGTATATCTGGCGGCTATGTTCTTAGCAAGTGTCTTAAAGAGAGGCATTCACCCCCCTGGAACATTAAATTTCAATTTGTTTTCAGGGCGGTGTCTTTAGGGCACTGGCTGAGAACATTGCGGACTGAAAAATCCCTTGCGCAAAATTAACCCGAAGTGAGACCTCTGCATGTAAGTACTCTGTGGCATGAATCAAGCCAATGACGGCCATTTTGGTGTGGGCAAGTTACATGGGAAAAGACATTTGCTTGACAATGCAGCAAATTTGCCGAAAATTTTGACAGACTTTGAAGTCACATCTCATTATAAATATTCTGACTTAAAAATTGACTGATTGAATACAAAAGGATACTTTATCCAGCCATAATTTTTAGATCAGTGGCCCATATTCTGGGGGGGGGGAGGGGGTTAGGTTATTAATGTGTCTGTATGATATGCACGCACGTAAAAGTGACCTGCATGATGATACGCATCATAGATATTTAAGAGACGATGCTGTCTGGTCACATCAGGATGCGCTGGTTACCACTTACCGAGGATCATACTTGAGTTTTCTTTTGATGCAGCGTTGTAGAAAATTGCAGTGAATGCACAGTAATTGAGAGCAAGAGCAACCGCTTGAGATGTATCAATCACGACAACCAACCAAGCTAGTCTTGCGAACGACAGCGCAAAATACGAGCACGCATAAAGAAACATTGTCACACATATCGTCTTTAATTCACCAATCTTTCTTATCACATGAGTTGAAAGAAACGCAGAGATCGCTACTGTTGGCCTTCTCACTAAACCTGCAGCGGCAATTAATAACGGGCTTGCAGATAATCCATCTAAGTACCAAAACTCCCAATAGGATTGAAACGCTATGCACAGTCCGGCATAAAACAGAACGACGAACATAAAAATGTAGTGCGCATTAAAAACATCAGATTTAACTCCAGACCAGGTGAATTTTTTTTTCTCGTACTCAAACTTAAACCAAGGAAGAGATAGCATCGAAAGTAAGAACATAATTCCTCCCCATATGAAAGCTATGAAATACCCATACTTCTCAACTCCACAGATATTTATCCGAATGTACCAAGCTAGCACAGAGACACATGGAATAGAAAGAGCGCTTGCTATATAGGTCCACATACGATAAACGCCATAACTCCCGTTTCCTCCTTGAATGAAAGTCATTGTGGCTAGGTTTGCTAAAGATAGATCTATACGATCAAAAAACTGCGTCAGAGATCTTGAGATTATCAGTATTAGAAATAAAACACTTAGCGAAGACTGTGAATTGTGAGTCTTGGAGGAGGGTTTGGCTGGATTGTTGGAATAGTTTGAAGGTATAGAACTCCGTCGGATACGTTGTGTAGATAAGGTGTTGTTAAATTTTGAGGAATGGTGAATCTTAGAGACAGATAGGCGTGTTTTTTGCTTCGAGTACTTCGAGAACATTTGGCCATTATGGCGCGAGGAAACTTGTTGTATTGATGGAGTGTGGGTTGATGTTAAATATGGTTTGGAATGGTGTGGTTTCGAGTCGGTTATGCCGGTTCTAGTAGGGTTGGAATTCTTCGAATGCACTGACACGGTTTTCAGTGGGCTGTTCAATGGCAAATGAGAAATGGTATGGTGGATCATGAAGGCAGATGGGTTATTGGCGGTTATATCGACCGAGCTATTAATGAAGATATGTTGTTGTACCGCTTTAAGAGACTTTGTCGATGTAAAGTGCTTCTTGTTGCTGCGGACTGCATAGCTTGAATAGTTCAAATGCACTGTTCCGTTTCTAAGTTGTATCGCTTTCCTAGCAGACTTGAATGCTATGTATGGTTTGGTATAGCATGTCGGCCGAAGTGCTGGTACAACCAGGGATAAAAGTGGTAACATACAACATACTGATGCTCCCAAGGTACCACATACTGCGACAATCTTTCTTGCTCGAAATTTCTCCCCGAACAGCAGACACAGTGGTATGAGTAGATGCTGTATTCCGAACAGTGCTGTCAATCCAATTTGTCCTGGGTTGAAACCAAGTTGTTTCATAAAAAGATTAAAACATTCAACGAACAGTCCCACTGATCCTGGACAACTGAAGAAATACCATTTTAGAGCGACAGCTTTTAGCGAGAATTTGACCATGATAATGGACATATATTTTACGTTCGCGTCCAGCCCTATTGAATCTGATATGCATGCGCGTCACTGAAGCGTAATGACTTTATTGTGACTTCAGACCTCTAATTTTAATATGCATGTAAAGTATGTTGGTTGTTATGTTAATCGTGAATTTCGCTAATCGTGTGAGCTTGAAACGTCCTAAACTAGTTTGAACAGCTTTACAAAGCTTTACAGGCAACCTCGTTCCCAGGCTTTTCAGCCGTGGGTACGAGATTGCTTCACAGGGTGCTATGTTCCCAATTTTTAAGGGGTCGTCAAACTTATATCTCAATACAATAACTGATGCATGATGTCAATGGTCCATTGCGCGAACCAGACTTCGCACAAGACCTATTTTAATAATCTCAGTGTCAAAAATCATCTCTTATAGATTAAATTGGCGATGCCCACTAACAATTAGTTATGTAAAAATTTGGAACATATAGTTATTGCATTTTTGGAACAAACAGTTGTCGGATTTTTTTCAACTTTATATTTGGTGATAACCATGCCTCATTGGCATTGCATTTCTTTGTTTGCAAAACAAGGCCGTGATAATTGCCCTTGACGACGACATTACCATATTCAAATTACCGCATATGAAGGCCACTGGCCCACGTTATACAAAGCAATAGGGTAGCATCGGATAGAGTATCCTTTTGAATTCAATGCTAATTTTGAAAGCCCGAATCTTTGTAATAAGAAGCAATTTTTAAATCTGCCAAATTAAACACATATCGAATTGCGGTTGGGGGGGGGGGGGATCGTCCCAAAACAATAGTACCTGCATCAGGACTCCGACAGGCGAGTACTTTGACGCGGTTAGCCTAAAAACCACCAATTTTCGTCCTGACTTGCTTGCAGGATATTTTAACTTTTACGAGTCTATATTTGTAATGCTTGACACATACATGTGTTAGGAATACTAGAATAATACAATTACGTTTATAATAGAAAGGATTTGATCTTGGCTTCTAGAATATTCCGATGGAATATATCTTGTAGTGAAGAACAGTTCAATAATATTTTCAATCCGCACTAAGCTCTCGGGAATGGCAAATTCCTGCAGTCTGGGAGACTATTTGACAGTAATATATCAATTCATATTTATCAATATTGTTCAATAAGATTTACACGAATGAGAAGATTAGCAGGCCAGTATCCAATATAGTTTCTCGCACATTAATTGGATGATAACGTAATTATACGAAAATACAATGAAACTTAGACAAAAACATAACACAATGACTTCTATTTAGTTTCCCAGACCATCGTATCTTCATAGACTATGACATAGGAAAAATCATATTTGAGATGGGTCATGGCACTTTAACTGGTTAAACGTTTCTACTACATTGCATGCAACATTGCTGTTGTGTTAATACGACAATTTGTGAGACTAATGGAACATTGCACGGCAAGGACAAATTGATTAAATTGTGGTTCAATTATAACGAAAATTGGATAAGAGGTTAGCAAAAGTGTGTCTTGTAAACTGAATACGTAATTAGCCCATTGTATAATTTATGCATCGTGCTTAATTCGCTGACAGAGGTATCCAGTCTCTCTCTACTCTAGCTTTTTTTCTGTCGTTATCGTTGTCATTCCACGTCACTGTCTTGAGCTACTTTTTCATATTTATGCAGACTTGTTGAAAAGCGAATGTACAGAACTAACATAACCAGCACCACAGCATATGATATTGAATAGATGAGTAATGTTAGCCTTGTGCCCAAGGTGTGGAAAAGAACTCCCATCAGACTCGATCCGGCATCAAATGCTACAGCGTAAACTGTCTCTTGTAGGCCTAAAAGCAGCATGAAAATTTTTTAACCAATTATCTCAAATCATTAATAATTCAGGAGGAAATTACCTCACATCACTGATCTCAAGACTAGTGCTGGACCACAGAGTACGTCATATAGAGCTCTCACTGCGGGAAAACCGTAAGTAGTTTTCACGGCGTATATCTGGCGGCTATGTTCTTAGCAAGTGTCTTAAAGAGAGGCATTCACCCCCCTGGAACATTAAATTTCAATTTGTTTTCAGGGCGGTGTCTTTAGGGCACTGGCTGAGAACATTGCGGACTGAAAAATCCCTTGCGCAAAATTAACCCGAAGTGAGACCTCTGCATGTAAGTACTCTGTGGCATGAATCAAGCCAATGACGGCCATTTTGGTGTGGGCAAGTTACATGGGAAAAGACATTTGCTTGACAATGCAGCAAATTTGCCGAAAATTTTGACAGACTTTGAAGTCACATCTCATTATAAATATTCTGACTTAAAAATTGACTGATTGAATACAAAAGGATACTTTATCCAGCCATAATTTTTAGATCAGTGGCCCATATTCTGGGGGGGGGGAGGGAGTTAGGTTATTAATGTGTCTGTATGATATGCACGCACGTAAAAGTGCACCTGCATGATGATACGCATCATAGATATTTAAGAGACGATGCTGTCTGGTCACATCAGGACGCGCTGGTTACCACTTACCGAGGATCATACTTGAGTTTTCTTTTGATGCAGCGTTGTAGAAAATTGCAGTGAATGCACAGTAATTGAGAGCAAGAGCAACCGCTTGAGATGTATCAATCACGACAACCAACCAAGCTAGTCTTGCGAACGACAGCGCAAAATACGAGCACGCATAAAGAAACATTGTCACACATATCGTCTTTAATTCACCAATCTTTCTTATCACATGAGTTGAAAGAAACGCAGAGATCGCTACTGTTGGCCTTCTCACTAAACCTGCAGCGGCAATTAATAACGGGCTTGCAGATAATCCATCTAAGTACCAAAACTCCCAATAGGATTGAAACGCTATGCACAGTCCGGCATAAAACAGAACGACGAACATAAAAATGTAGTGCGCATTAAAAACATCAGATTTAACTCTAGACCAGGTGAATTTTTTTTTCTCGTACTCAAACTTAAACCAAGGAAGAGATAGCATCGAAAGTAAGAACATAATTCCTCCCCATATGAAAGCTATGAAATACCCATACTTCTCAACTCCACAGATATTTATCCGAATGTACCAAGCTAGCACAGAGACACATGGAATAGAAAGAGCGCTTGCTATATAGGTCCACATACGATAAACGCCATAACTCCCGTTTCCTCCTTGAATGAAAGTCATTGTGGCTAGGTTTGCTAAAGATAGATCTATACGATCAAAAAACTGCGTCAGAGATCTTGAGATTATCAGTATTAGAAATAAAACACTTAGCGAAGACTGTGAATTGTGAGTCTTGGAGGAGGGTTTGGCTGGATTGTTGGAATAGTTTGAAGGTATAGAACTCCGTCGGATACGTTGTGTAGATAAGGTGTTGTTAAATTTTGAGGAATGGTGAATCTTAGAGACAGATAGGCGTGTTTTTTGCTTCGAGTACTTCGAGAACATTTGGCCATTATGGCGCGAGGAAGCTTGTTGTATTGATGGAGTGTGGGTTGATGTTAAATATGGTTTGGAATGGTGTGGTTTCGAGTCGGTTATGCCGGTTCTAGTAGGGTTGGAATTCTTCGAATGCACTGACACGGTTTTCAGTGGGTTGTTCAATGGCAAATGAGAAATGGTATGGTGGATCATGAAGGCAGATGGGTTATTGGCGGTTATATCGACCGAGCTATTAATGAAGATATGTTGTTGTACCGCTTTAAGAGACTTTGTCGATGTAAAGTGCTTCTTGTTGCTGCGGACTGCATAGCTTGAATAGTTCAAATGCACTGTTCCGTTTCTAAGTTGTATCGCTTTCCTAGCAGACTTGAATGCTATGTATGGTTTGGTATAGCATGTCGGCCGAAGTGCTGGTACAACCAGGGATAAAAGTGGTAACATACAACATACTGATGCTCCCAAGGTACCACATACTGCGACAATCTTTCTTGCTCGAAATTTCTCCCCGAACAGCAGACACAGTGGTATGAGTAGATGCTGTATTCCGAACAGTGCTGTCAATCCAATTTGTCCTGGGTTGAAACCAAGTTGTTTCATAAAAAGATTAAAACATTCAACGAACAGTCCCACTGATCCTGGACAACTGAAGAAATACCATTTTAGAGCGACAGCTTTTAGCGAGAATTTGACCATGATAATGGACATATATTTTACGTTCGCGTCCAGCCCTATTGAATCTGATATGCATGCGCGTCACTGAAGCGTAATGACTTTATTGTGACTTCAGACCTCTAATTTTAATATGCATGTAAAGTATGTTGGTTGTTATGTTAATCGTGAATTTCGCTAATCGTGTGAGCTTGAAACGTCCTAAACTAGTTTGAACAGCTTTACAAAGCTTTACAGGCAACCTCGTTCCCAGGCTTTTCAGCCGTGGGTACGAGATTGCTTCACAGGGTGCTATGTTCCCAATTTTTAAGGGGTCGTCAAACTTATATCTCAATACAATAACTGATGCATGATGTCAATGGTCCATTGCGCGAACCAGACTTCGCACAAGACCTATTTTAATAATCTCAGTGTCAAAAATCATCTCTTATAGATTAAATTGGCGATGCCCACTAACAATTAGTTATGTAAAAATTTGGAACATATAGTTATTGCATTTTTGGAACAAACAGTTGTCGGATTTTTTTCAACTTTATATTTGGTGATAACCATGCCTCATTGGCATTGCATTTCTTTGTTTGCAAAACAAGGCCGTGATAATTGCCCTTGACGACGACATTACCATATTCAAATTACCGCATATGAAGGCCACTGGCCCACGTTATACAAAGCAATAGGGTAGCATCGGATAGAGTATCCTTTTGAATTCAATGCTAATTTTGAAAGCCCGAATCTTTGTAATAAGAAGCAATTTTTAAATCTGCCAAATTAAACACATATCGAATTGCGGTTGGGGGGGGGGGGGATCGTCCCAAAACAATAGTACCTGCATCAGGACTCCGACAGGCGAGTACTTTGACGCGGTTAGCCTAAAAACCACCAATTTTCGTCCTGACTTGCTTGCAGGATATTTTAACTTTTACGAGTCTATATTTGTAATGCTTGACACATACATGTGTTAGGAATACTAGAATAATACAATTAGATTGATAATAAAAAGAATTTGATGCTGGCTTCTAGAACAATCCGATGGATTACATCCTACAGTCAAGAACGTTTAAATAATATTTTCAATCTGCACTACGCTCTCGGGAATGGCAAATTCCTGCATTCTGGCCGACTATTTGACAGTAATATCAATGCATATTTATTAAAATTGTTCAATAAGATTTACACGAATGACAAGATTAGCAAGCCAGTATCCAATATAGTTTCTCACACATTAATTGGATGATTACGTAATTATACGAAAATACAATGAAACGTAGATAACAACATAACACAATGACCATCGTATCTTGATAGACTATGACATAGCAAAAATCATCTTTGGGATGGGTCATGGCACTTTAACTAGTTAAACGTTTCTACTACCTCCACCAGCACGTTGTATTTTTATGCGCGTTTACTTTGTATGTGTCTGTCAGCTTGATAACCAGGGCTGCCGAGAGGGGGGTGGGGGGCAGGGGGGAGATTGCCCCGGGCCCCCACCTTAATAGGGCCCAACTTGAGAGCAAGAGCCTAAAATTTGAGTAGGTTCTTTTTAAATTGGTCCGAGCATTTTTGAAATTGAGGGCCTCTTACAGTAGCTTCACATGCAGTTTGGCTAAGGTCTAGTTGGGTGACTGATTTGGGTCTAGCTTGAATGATGATGTCATGGGGCCCCCAGAGAAGATTTGCCCCGGACCCACTGATCTAATAGTAGACTGGATATAGCTTCTCTAGGTGTGAAAAGTGAAGCCAAATTATATATGCGAAAATCACTTCCGGGGACCACGGAGCGATACAAATTACTATAGAAATGTATGGCGAACAACGTGAACCAAG